CAAATAGTAAATTGCTAGAATAAAGGAATTTTTCCCTTTAAGTTCAATTCATTTGGTTTTATTTTTTTTACTATTTTGTCAAGGGCTGCACAAGTTCTTTCTAAGCTAATTTTTAAAAAAAATACTTTTCTCAAAATATAATCATACCATAAAATTCACCCACTTTAAGTGTACAATTCAGTGAATTTTAGTATATTTATAGAGTTGTACAACCAAAATCTAATTTTAGAACATTTCCATCATTCTCGAAAGAAACCTTGTGCCCATTTACAGTTGCTTCTCATTACCATGCCAGCGTCCAGGCTAATTTTGAATTCTTTTTCTTAAAGAGGACCTCCAATATTAAAGACGATTCATACTTCTCTAAATCTGAATTGTTCCTGATTGTTTCCCCTGGTTACCTTATTTATTTTTTTTAGCTAATGAAGGATTATCCAGTTAGGAGGGTACATTATTGTTACTGGAATGCCCTCTGATAATGCTAAAGGAAAAATAAACACCTAATATCTTGTTTACCAAAATAAAAATATTTCAAGTAATTTAAATTTGTGACTTTGCAAAGATAATGAAAGTGTGTATGTGATGACTATAATTGAGAGAGAGGACTTGTTCCCTTCTGTTGTCTTGCTGAGTAATGAAACCAGACTGTATACAACTGGAATGTGTACATAGTGTTATTTGAGAAAAGTCGTGCTGATGATCAAAGGTTTTAGTATTCTTCTTGAAAAATTTCCAGGAAATGAGAGAGTGCCATCTTAAGTAGAAACTCCAAAATTATTTCACTAAGTAACAGATTCTCATAGTAGAAACTTATAATAGGTACTTCTTCAGTTGTCTATGTACACTATTTCTTATTTTGGAAAAGAAGGTGTTCTGTAACTCGAATGAATACATCTAGTGCTTTTTTTGAAAAACGTATTCTGTTATTCTGTATTGTGATTTTCTTTCCTGGTGTATGAAGGTATATTTTAATTATTTCACTTAACATTTTATTAATATTTATTCTCTAATGTTCAGAACAGTACTTTAAACAAGAATAAGATTGTTTTAAATTAGGGATATACATTTTCACATCTTTTATTTACTTTTAGGTGAAAGATATTCTCTCAAAAGTCCGGAACAATCATGTGGGAAAGCCACTGCTGAAAATTGATTTAAATCCAGAACAGGCGGTAAATCCCCCTTTCTTATTAGTTTTATGTAATTAAATTAGTGAGTATGACTTAATTTTGTAAATGAACATCTAGATTTTACAGTACGTAGCATGCATATATTATTTTTGAGAATTAAAATGGATTGATATTCTGAAATAATATGTCCTAACATTTCTTCAGTCAAATTATTAATTTAAAAAACACCTGGCCAAGAATATTTATAGTCTCCAGTATTTTAGCACAGTTGTGATTTGAAGAGGATAGTGGCTGAAAGCCATAAGAAGAGAAGTTACTGGTATTTTCTTTCCTTATTGGTCCAGACTACTTAGCAAGTAAATGTTTTATTTATTTTACTTATTTATTTACTTTTGAGACAAGGTCTTGCTGTGTTGCCTGGTCTAGAGTGCCGTGGCATCAGCCTAGCTTACAGCAACCTCAAACTCCTGGGCTCAAGAGATTCTCCTGGCTCAGCCTCCCAAGTAGCTGGGATTACAGGCGCATGCCACCATGCCCAGCTAATTTTAGTAGAGACAGAGTCTCGCTGTTGCTCAGGCTGGTCTCAAACTCCTAACCACAAGCGATCCTCCCACCTTGACCTCCCAGAGTGCTAGGATTACAGGTGTGAGCCACCTTGCCCCGCTGTAAATGTTTTATTTAAATTAACATGTTTGATTGAAGATAAGATAACTCTACCAGTAGTAGAGTTTAATTTATATGTTTAATATCTTCTGAATATCATAAATATTCTATCAAATATTCTTTATTTAAATGTTTTTATTGTAAAGTCTCAAGGGATCAGAAAAGGGTCATCAAGTACCAGTATCTTTTGAATCAGTAGCAAGTATTTGCCACAATTTTCAAATTTCTGTGCAGAATGAAAGAATCTATGATTTTTGTTTCCAAATGCTTTAGCAACAACTGGAAAGAATCAATGATGCTCTTTCCTGTGAATATGAGTGCCGCCGGCGAATGTTAATGAAACGACTAGATGTGACAGTACAGTCCTTTGGATGGTCTGATAGAGCAAAGGTAAGGCTGTTTTCCCATTTGTGTCCTGTAGGTGGTAGCCTATGACAGCTCTTCAGGCTTGCTTATCTGTTATTATGTAACTGTGCCACATTTGCACTTTATCACTATCTGAACCGCATGCCTAGGCCAACTACTGGTCTTATATGATGATCCCAGTCTTATATAAATCCTTGTTGCAAATCACTTAATTTCTCCCCAGATCTTTGACATTTATTTTCAACTCATAGGTGTTGTGCTTTGTGCCAGGATATGCATAAAAGAAGGAGCATTACATTGAGGTAATGAAATAGATATAGTGAACACTTTATCAAGAAAGCAGGATATAGGAATAGTACTGCTGCTAGAAGGTCTTTTTTTCAAAAGTGTTCTTAAGGCTGAATGAATGTGGAGTGTGTTTCAGTTGAAGAGGAGGTTGGGAGGTGGGGGCATTCCCAGTGAATTGCATCGGATAGCTTTCTAGAGATCTGGTCTCCCATTGCTCCCATTTTATGCTTTAATCTGTATCAGGCTTAGTTTTGGATCACCTCCCACCCCTGCCTACCCCAGCATACATCATAGCTTTGAAACTCTTTGGACAGTAAGCTGGGACAATTACAAGGCTTCCCCTCATTCAGGGATCACTATCCTATGTTCCTTGATGTCCAGTGTCTGAAAATCATTGGTTCACATGGGTTGTTCAGTTTTTCAGTTGCTTTAGGTGGGAGCATAAATCTGGTGCCTGTTACTCTATCTTGACCACAAGTGGAAGTTCAGGTATTATTATTATTACATATTTTGGATTAACTGGGCAGTTCTTACGTCCCATATGCAGCTTCATTCAGCTGGTACTTGGGCTGGGCAGGAACATCCAACATGGTTGTCTTACATGCCTGGGGTCTTGGTGCTGACTCTCTGTTGCAGTGCTTCCATTCTCTTGGCTTTCACTTGGTCTCTATTTCCATGTGGTGTCTTGTGTTAGTTTCCTGAGGCTGCTATAACAAATTACCACAGGTGTAGTAGCTTAAACAATACAGATTTATTCTGTTACAATCTGGAGATCAGAAGTCCTTGGCAAAGTTGCATTCCTCCTAGATGCTTTAAGGAAGAATCTGTTTCCTTGCATTTCCTAGCTTCTAAATGCCACTTGCATATTTTGGCTCTTGGACACATCTTCTATCTTCAAAGCCAGTAGCATATAGGATCTTCCAGTCATTCTCTGCTTCTATTGTCACATTGCCTTCTCCTGTCTCTCTCTTCTAAGGATCCTTGTGATTATTTTTGGCCCACCCAGATAATGCAGGATAATCTTTCCATCTCAAGATGCTTAACTTAATCATGTCTACAAGGTAATATTCACAGGTTCCAGGAATTAGCATGTAGACATCTTGGGGAGGATCATTCGACCTACAGGTGTCTCATGTCCTTTCTAATTGAATTTTATTTTTTTGCATTAAATTTTTGTGATATGATAATATGCTTATTTTTTTTTTTTTTAAGTATTCTTTTAAAAATTAGGTCTTCTAATGAGTTCTCCATTTTCTGTGTACATTCCCTCCCAGAAACTTGTATCCTCTTACTGCAGTTTAGGCTGTTTGCGTGGCTATCCTTGGCTACTCCACTATTTTCTGGATCCCACGGTCTGTGCTATCATTGTTTTTCTCCTCATTATTATAGGAGATCCACAAGTAACTTCCTCAAAGGGTGCATAGGAGGTGATTTTTCTGAATCTCCTGGCATTTTGAAAATGTTTATTCTGCTGTCACATTTGATTGAGAGTTTAGATAATTATAAAATTCTAGGTTGAAAACATATTGAAGGCATTGCTTCATTGTTTTTAAGCATTTAGTGCTGCTGTTAAGAAAACTAATGACATTCTCTGTCTTTTTGAGTGACCTTTTATTTTTTGGACTCTTTCCTCTATCCTTGGAGTTCTGAATTTTCACAATATGTGTCAAGCTGGGTCTTTTCATTCATTGTGCTAAACACTAGGTGG